GGATGACAGCAGCTTGTATAGGTTGCACGCCGTCATGCTCAAGAGCTTCGGAGTCTCTCAGTTGGATAAGACGTTTGTGGAGATCATTACGGGTACCAATATCTGCCAAGTTGCTATTAGTCTCGACATAGGTGAAGCATATAGTATTGAGCCGTTCTCCCATAAGTTCTCGGAGCAAGCGGAGCTTCTTCTCCATGTACACTTGCATTGGACCAGCATTGGTACGACCGTGTTGTAGAACTGAAAGAACAGTCTTGCTGTCCACGAGAACGTTGATATCCTTAAATAGAGAATCCATACGCATCTCGAGTAAGGCCAATCTCTGCATCGCTAGTAGGACCATCATTAATTCTTTGCAGTTTATATGGAGGGCAACCTCTGTCGACGTGAAAGTGTGTTGGCCTCGGAGAATTTCTTCACCGTTTTGGTAGAAGCGGTAACACCCGCAGTAAGCACCGGCGTCAGTATATATCTCAATAGGGAGAGTGACGTCGATGTGGCGGTGGATGATCGGAGGGGTGGCTTCTTTGAAAGCTTCATGGAATTCTCGCAGCATATTCAATAAGTTTGGTGATAGTTTTGCATCCCAAGACGAAAGAAGATGGCGGCATTTCGCCACTTGAGACTGTAGTAAATTGCGAATTGGCAGTAAGAAGAAGGGCAAGACCTCGGGAAGAGACATAACCTTCCCTAGCAATGTTAGTGCGTCCCGCAAGGATGGGTTGTTAGGAAGCTCGTGAGTAACGAAACTCGCCCATCCTCTGTCGCTATAGCGAAGGGAGCGGCCATGATCGACAGTTTGGAGCCCTAAGAAAGGGGCAACTTGAACTGTAGATACGTCGACCAGAGTAGTAGGGAAGTGATACTTGTCGAAGAGCTGCTGCAGCTGTTGAGGATGTGGATGATCCGTAGCGACATCGTCCATATAATATTTGATGTTGTAAGGTGACTTCGCGGTGGTACAAATATGGGACATACATGCGAGTAGGACGAATGGCGAAAAATTAGGCCCGTAGGGTAGGTTGCAGAAAAAGAATCGCTGACCGTCGATAAACACCGTCATTATTTGTCGTAAGTTGGGCCCCGTCCGGATGCGGAAGAATGCATCCGAGACATCCATCAGCTTCAGAGTGCTATACCCTCTTGTAGCGTCAAGAATGGAGTACAACGGATCTTGTCGGACAGGGCAGTCCTTGAGAAGTTGCACGGTCGCATCATTGAGCTTCCTGAAGGGGAATACGGGTCGTGCCCTTTTCGATCCTCGTACGCCATAATATGTCGTGGTAAGGTACATAAAGCCGTCATCGTCATCGGTTGTAGGAGCCAAA